TTTTATGAAAATACTTTTGCTTAACCGAAGATCTCACAATGAAAAAAGCACACTTCAAAAAATTATTGACGTTTCGAAAATCAGTCTGTTTTTAAAAACCGAATATCTAAAATATGTGGTATAGCAGTTAAAAAACTTATTTTATGATGCAGGAACTGAAAATTTTGAAAACATTTATATGCTTTCCAGTATTATTTATTGCACAATTTCACAATTTCTCAAATAGAAGTGTAAATTAAGTGTAAAGAGCGACTTTTATCATCACTTTTGAATAGCATTGAATTATTAAATAAAAGATATATATGTATGTAAAAAAAGGTATTTGTAATTTTTATGTCTTTGTTAAACTATTTTCTTTCTTATGTTTTTTCAAGAGTAGATTTTTTTTTGTTCTGTTTGTATGATTTGTATTTTTTGCTTTGCCTGCACTGCGATTTTTGTAAATGTTGTTGACACCGTCCACTAACGTTTGTAGCGATTTCTGTGTGTTCCTCAGAAGTGAATCTATCCATTGCATCGTTGAATGCAGCGAATGAAATTCACAATGTTCCTCTAATAAGTGTCAGTGTCAGTCTATGTATTTTTGCGAAATTATTCCAGTTGGTACGAGTTGACTCGATTTTCTATGTATTTGTCCGATATCGATGTCGAGCTTCCGTTTAATTGTTACGGAGTAACAGAGTTCATTTATTGTATGATAAAATTGAATTTATCAGCAGTTATATTTAAAAATGAGTTTTATACATTTTAATTTTTGAATTTTTTTGCTTTGATTTTAAATTTTCTTCATTTCTCCCAAAAATTTTACTCCAATCACATGGTATTTTGTTTCTAGTAATTTGCACAGTAGCTTCCAATTTATTATTCACTAAAGCTACCTTGGACGGAGCAATCAAAATTCACAGATTTTTGTTGAGTAATGTTTTGAGATTACCGTCTGCATTTTTTGACGTCACTCCGATGGGACGTATATTGGCCAGATTTTCAAACGATGTAAACGGCGTGGATATAATATTACCCATGAATTTGCAAGTTATGATACAAACCACCATAAGGGTAGGTCTATTTATTTTTTATTATTATTGTGTGTCGAGTTGCTATTTGTTATCGATATGTTTTGTGTTACATCATTTACATCGTCAAATCACCATTATAGCATCGTTTATTCTTTTGGAATGATTACGGTTCTTATCATCACATTCATGTATTAAATTCGTTATACAGGGTGTTCCACAGTGACGAGATGTTAGACATATTTCAGAGACTACTTCGATTTTAATTTTGAAAATATGGGCAATAGTGTTTTCGGGCATGCCCTTTTTAACTAAAATAATGGCATCCACCTAACGGTTCCAGTATAGGTTGCACAAAAATATACAGGGTCTTCCAATTCAAAAAAACTTAAGATGGTTTAAAGTTGACTAAATTCGGCATTAAATTTCTACCACCCTGTATGAAATTAAGTCATTTTGAAATTATGACAGGGAAGCTTACAGTTTTAGTTATGTCCCCTATAAATTTTATCGTTCTAACTTTATAATTGTAAAATACACATTTTTCTGTATTAGGCAGTGCTTTTTTATTTTTTTTACGGTTAACTTTAAGAATATGAAACCTTTATGAAAGTTCACCTAAAAATTGACGTAGAATCGAAAATTGCAATAATATACAGGGTGTTCCATTTAAAATAACGAAGATGACGTCAACATCCGGTATAACCGGATGCGTTAGGTGGACCCGTCATAATTATACTGTCAACAAGGGTGACAGAGATTTTATTGGAGAGTCACAATTAGTATTTTCATTGTCTAACTGTATTATACACATAAAATGCCTCGACATATATGACATTTAGGCATAGTCCAGGAAATGTCTCTTTTGTGGATTTTTGAATAGTGGTTTTTATAGTTGGTGTCTATGTACTGTCACTTTTCTTTATTTTTTTTGATGAAAAAAATTAAAAACCAATGTAACAAACCTTACGCCAAAGGAATCGCTGTAGGGTTATTTTTTATGAGAATAGTTTTGTCTAACTAAAAATCTTGCACATTATTAAATATTTTTTTTGCATGTATTGTCAAATTTAATTTAAATATAACTGCTTTGCTTGTGTTCTATAGTGTCTCCTATAAAATAAGCAATATTCTAACAATGTATGTTTTAGGTTATAGGGACTATGGCCGTTATAAGTTACACCACCGTTTTGTTTTTGATCGTAATCGTACCCATCGCGCTGTTGTATTACTTCATTCAGAGATTTTATGTCGCCACTTCCCGTCAATTGAAAAGATTAGAATCCATATCGCGTTCCCCCATATATTCGCATTTCGGGGAAACCGTGACGGGAGTACAAGCAATCAGAGCTTATGGGCAGCAAGAGAGATTTATTAACGAATCAGAGAAAAAAGTGGATCTGAATCAGATCTGTTACTATCCGAGTGGCATTTCAAACAGATGGTTGTCCATAAGGCTGGAAATGATTGGTAACTTGATTATACTCTTTGCATCCTTGTTCGTCGTTATAGGAAGGGAACAGGATCCTGCGTTGGTTGGTCTATCCGTTTCGTACGCATTACAGGTAAATATGATTTAATTGTATCTAAAATTTGTTATGACAGAAATTCGGTCTATGTAACATATAGAAAGGGGTCTTGAGCTTTTACATTAACCGATCTTACCCTTAACATAGTTCATTATTATAGAGGAAAGTCTAATTTTGTGATTTTACATGTATTCTCTGATGAGACGGACGAGGTAGTTCAAATGTCCCAGTCTTAATCAAACTGTTTTCATCTTTAGTTGTCTTTCTTTTATTTATAACTCAAACATGTGACATTAGGCAAAATTAATTAAATAAATCAAGATATAGTTATAACCGTTTCTCAAAAACGGACCCCAAGAAATCTGAAATACATGTCTTTTTCTTTGGGAAATATGGAAAAGCTCCCAAACGTAAAATTAGTCCAATAGTGTATCCTATTATGTATTCTGCTTAGTATATCTTCAAAACATACAGTTTTTAAAGCATCGAATGGTTATTACGTCATTGTGATAGAAAAACTTTCAAGCAAATAAAATTATTACAGCTGTTTTATTAAAATTTTACTAATTTATTCGTAACTGTAATTGCAAATCTTTTGGCAAAGATTCAGATATGCCAAGTTTTAAATTGGAAAAATCTAAAAAATAAATTTTGAGACATTGCTACTAGTAGTTGTGAAACGACAAAATATGTCTTCTGACGGGAATAAGGGGCTTGTAAATTCATTAATTTTTAAGGGAACTTTTGGAGATTTCTCTTATTTTCCAAGGAGACGGTCAAAAAGTAGTTCAGATGTCCCAAACTCAAGTTTCGAGAAGTTTTCCACTTATAATTAAAATGTATCACATTACAAAAAGTCACTAAAAATAAATGAAGATGTACTTCAGTTTTTCTCAAAAATTGAATCCAAAAAATCTTCCAAAAAGATCTACCATTAATATAGTCATTTCTAATGGCAGAAAAGTTGCAATAAAATTAATAAATGTGACGTTACACATGTTAATGGTTGTGACGTTTCAGCATTTTTAAACCTTTGGGTATTACAGAAATACGAGTAGCTTGGGAGAAATTTTAGCTTTTAAATTTTGTGATTTTTCCATTTCTATTTCAATGTTATCAAAACTTTATAGATCACGCAAACTCTCAACTGGTTGGTAAGAATGACGTCCGACGTGGAGACTAATATAGTGGCAGTGGAACGTATCAAGGAGTACGGCGAAACTACACAAGAAGCACCTTGGGAATTACCCAACAAAAATGTATCGTCAGTTTGGCCAGAGCAAGGATCAATTGAATTTAAGAAGTACGCCGTAAGGTATCGGCCCGGTTTGGAGCTGGTTTTAAAAGGCGTCGATTTCCATATTAAGGGTGGGGAAAAGGTCGGCATTGTAGGGAGGACCGGTGCAGGGAAATCTAGTTTGACCTTGTCATTATTCAGGTAAATTTAGTTGTCATTATGGTTTGGTTTGGAGACTTGTAACACAGTTGGATTCGGTTCACTAAAGCAATTTTTTAATTCATTTAGGATATTCCACAGTTTGTGTGTCGTTATCTTTTAAGCCATCAAGATGTTTTTCACAGCTCGTGAGGATATTTAAGTTTACTAAAAAACTGCCATTAGAAATAATGTCCATTCTCCCATTAGAAATTGCAAAATAATGAAAATATTCATAATAAAACAAATCACATTGAAAATTAAAGTACGTTTCTAACCTCCTTTTGTTTTAATTGTTGTAATCCGAGTGATGAGTGCGTAGACTTTTTGTTTATACATTTTTTTAATAATAGCAATTAACGAGGAGTGTTGACGAAATGCAACTGCAACAAAGAAAAGTTCCCACTGAGAAATATCCAACACTATTTGTTAATTTGGTTCAAAGGTGAGGTATTAACTAGGTGTTTAAAAGGGCAACATGGAGGATACGCGGTAAGTTAAATGTATCCCAAAATGACTGAAATTGATGAAAAAATTCTAGAAATTGATCCAACAATCATTGCGATTGTTTTGGGGTCATTTGAAAATCTAGGTTTATTTCAGTAGAAAAGTGAACTTTGAGGAACTTAGGCAATGTATAAAAAATATATTTGAAGAAATATATCTTATTTTTACTGCTTGTAAAATTGCCTGTTTTTACAAGTTCTTTGTAGTTATTTAAATACATCTGGAGACAATAATTTAACAGTAGTTTATGCAGACGTATAAAACAAATGCACAAAACAGCTGACTGACCGCTATGAATGGCGTCTAGTAAACGACTGAAATGAAAATTGGAAAAGTGAACCAAGTATGACCCTGTTACAAACCTCATAACCTGAACTGTAATCGTTACTTATTTCTGATTATCGTTATTTAATCAAAAGCCGTAGATATAATTTTTATAACTTTTAGGATTATCGAGGCCGCTCAAGGACAAATTTGCATCGATGGTATCAATATCGCGGAATTAGGGTTACATACCTTAAGGTCCCGTTTAACGATTATTCCCCAAGACGCCGTGTTGTTTTCCGGAACTCTCCGCATGAATTTGGATCCTTTCGACAAGCACTCCGACGAAGAGGTATGGGGGGCTCTGGAACACGCCCATCTGAAAGTTTTTGTGAGCAGTAAGTACACACACACACACACTTTTATTTTTAACTAGGATTTTTTTTAAATACTCGTGGCAAATTGTAGTGTTTGAAAAATTTAAAAAGCTATCTCATCAATGTCTTTTATACAGGATGTTTTAATATCCTCCCTTCTAGTAAAAGTTGTATCGTTTATCCATTAGAGGACGTCAAATCAGATTTGTATCGAAAACGCAGTGATGACTAGAAAACCTTTAGAAAAATGAAAAATTTATGAGAGATAAACACTTGAAGAATCCATGCCTTTGTGATTAAGGTCACTTACAAAAAAATACATATGTATACGCCATTTAGGTTATTTAGGTGTGTTATTAAAAAAAAAAACTAACATTTTTTACTGATTTGCATATTCTCGGTGTGCACCGAGTGCAAATAAGTCGAAAAGTTTGTAAAACTTTTAGTTGCTTTGACGCTACCCTCTAGCGACTAAGCGAAACAAAGTCGTCTTCTCGTGATCAGAGAGTAATAGAATATTGAAACACCCTGTACATAATAATTACTACACTTCAATATATTCCTATTTCTTTAGGCCTTCCCGCCGGTCTTAGTCAGCACATGTCTGAGGGAGGAGATAATCTCTCGGTAGGCCAGAGGCAGCTCATTTGCTTGGCCAGGGCTCTCCTCAGGAAAACTAAAGTGCTGATCCTGGACGAAGCCACGGCAGCCGTCGATTTAGAAACCGACGATCTGATTCAGACAACGATCAGGACGGAATTCAAAAATAGCACGGTTCTTACAATAGCCCACAGGTTGAACACGATCATGGATTCGGATAGGGTCATAGTGTTGGATAAAGGTGAAATCGTGGAGTTCGACACGCCGGCCAATTTATTGGAAAATCCAGAAACGATATTCTATGGAATGTGTAAGGATGCCGGGTTAGTTTGATTTATAGGAAATATATTTTGAAACAATCAACTTGAGTGCTTTGGATCTCGTTTTAAATGATATGAAATTTGGAACAAACTGGACTTTAATTTCGGATATTATTAATACGTGTATCTTTTATATATTTTTTTACTTAATAGAGTTCATGGTTCAACTTTTGCCTTACGAATGTAATACTTATACAGGTTCGTAAAGTCCCCGTGGTACATCGGCCGTTACGTGAGAGCGATAAAGTAAGTCATAGAAATCCGTGCGATAGAGAAGGATGGCTATAATGAAGGCGTCTCATAGTCACCGCCCGTTTCGCCCTTCCACAAATAAAATCCACTTCCACTTGTAATTCAGCGACCGGTGGTCATCTTTGTTTTCGTCGTTTGCCTTTTCTTTAATAGATGTCACTACTTATACAATTCCGACTCCGGTATTCCGATATGTTAATAGAATCCGTTAACAGAGGGCAGCACTACACGTAACAAACAAAACTTTTTACAGTAGCTAGTAGATACCTCTGCTTGTAAATCTAGTGACCTCGTTTCCCCCTACTGAGAAGTTATTCAAATGGAGTATAGTGCTCAGCTGTATTTAAAGTTCATTTAGTTGTTATTTAAGTATACTTTGCCCTCTGTTAACGGATTGTATTAACATATCGGAATTGTATAAGTAGTGACATCATTAAAGAAAAGGCAAACAACGAAAACAAAGATGACCACCGGTCGCTGAATTACAAGTGGAAGTGGATCTTATTTGTGGAAGGGCGAAACGGGCGGTGACTATGAGACGCCTTCATTATAGCCATCCTTCTCTATCGCACGGATTTCTATGACTTACTTTATAGCTCTCACGTAATGGCCGATGTCCCATGGGGACTTTCCGAACCTGTAAAAGATGTGATCCTTATAGCTGTTCCCATTTTTAATTCATAGATATATTTATATATTGTAACATAAATACCATTTCTACCTAAAAGAGATCAGTATTTTTGCTAGTTTGTTTTGTAAATATGAGTTTTATTTGTTAAATGATTACTGTGTACATTTTTATATATAAATAAATTTTATTTTGTTCACCGTCATATTTATTTACTCCTACCCTTTCCTGACTTAGCGAATAAAAAATTCTAACACAAATTTTCTACAAAACGGACTTAGTTTGAAACTCAAATTATTTCTTGGTGTAAAGAAATTTGTAATTTGTCGCTTTTGAACAAGCGGCATAGTAAATTACAAATTTCTTTACACCAAAAAATAATTTCAGTTCCATTTTATAAACAATCTGCGTTAAAGTGGGGGAAAGTCCGTTATTTGTGCATTAATTCATATTTAGACACTGTGTAATGAAATCTATAAAAATGTATTGCTGGTTGCCTATTTACTATAGAGCCTTCTTAACTTCAATGTCAGAATTGTTTATAGCGAAACGGGCAATGAATAGTTTTTATGAATTTTTTTATAAAAATGTTGCGTTAAATGATAAAATTTATATCTATTTTATTCTAGTGTGTAATATTCGACAATTTTTTTTCATTTCTATATTGGATCTGCCATTTTGAAATTTGTAAAATTCGTAATACCGAAAACCTGAAGCCCGTTGGGAATTTAGGTGTTTGTAATTTGATTCTCCTCTCTTTCTGACTGTACCTGTTGAACGATTCAAAATGGATTTTGAAGGGGAAGAGTAGTACTTACATGTTATAACGAATTTTGTTAAGAAAAATTATCTCGTGATGTACCATAACCCCAAATCGAAGTTGGCAAATATCATGATATTTATGATAAATATCAAATAGCAGATATATATCTTGATATACATATATCCGCTATATATCAAGTCTTGATATTTATTTTTTTTAATTGATTAGTTTATGTATAATATAGTAGCGAAATAAAATTAAGAAATTATTTAGGTAAATATTTTTATTCCAAATATCAAAAACAGGAACGAGAAAATAAATATAAATTCTGAAACTAATAAAAAATATTTGTGTGAATATTAAGTACTACGAAAACTAACCAATTTACGCCAAGTCAGCATAAATTTCATAAATGTTCAAACAAATACAAACACATAGCACCTGCTCGAATTGACTGGAGAAATAATGAAATAAAAATATTCATTCAATTTTACTTTGTTGAAACATTCGGGGAATCACATAAACATGTTCGTCAACGAATAGCATATGGTTTTGCTGCCATCTGCTAATAGTTTTAGCAACTTTAAACCAGTAGGAATCATTATTTAAATTTTTATAAATATCATGATATATATCAAGGAATAAATATCGTGATAGATATCAATGATATATATCGGATATATATCATTGACATATATCATGCTAACCTTGCCCCAAATAAAGCGAAAGAACGTTTTTCTCACGTTTAGATTAGAATATCTCGAAAATTTGACGTGATGGAGTAATATTGAAATATGATTCGAATTCAGAGCTCAAAAACCTTCAGAAACGTATATAGCCCGGTTTCTATTTTAAAATTTTGTTTCTGTAATCGTCAACGTCTTATAATTTCAATCATTTTCGATATTACCTGAAATTCATGCCCATAAGACGTAATAAGATTATGTATGGAATGTCTGTTCATATAAAAGATTTCTTACTAAAATCATTTTATTTCACAATTAGCAAAAATATCGACTGACTGAGTGAGATAGAAATACTTCAAATTTTCAGTATGGAAGTTTCAAAGGGTTTTCAGACACTGATCCCATTAATACGATGATTAGGTTCAGTGATCTGCTTGTTCGGAAAGCAAAACGGTCAAAGTTAAAAAAAGCTTTGTTCCTAGTACAATCCAACAATAGGCCGTATGCGCATTCTGAGATAATGCATACATTATTACAAAGAAAACGATACATACAATATTGTTCTATGTAAAACCAAAATTCAACTTGAACACAAGGTAGGTAATATTAAATAATTAAAGTAAATGTTTTGATTACATCACAACATAATTATACTGTGGTCACCACTTATTTTATTCTTAACGAGGACAAGGATGATTCTAATAAGTTGACAATTTTCAAATTATGAGAAAAATATGAAGTAACTTGGTGTAGTTATAATACATTACTACTTGCTTATTATATATTACTCACAACTACTAAGATTTATTTATAAATCCTACAATTAATGCATCAAGGGGAGTTACAGTTTATAAAAAAATACGTTAAAAGTGATCTTCTGTTTTCTTCAAGTGCCTAGTAGTGTATTGATATAATTATTAAGGAGTTTATACAAAAGATATCAAAAATGATTTTATGTTTTTTAAGTATGTACTCAGAAGTGTATTGTCGTGATAAGGTATTGTACTTTGTTAGATGAAGCACTTTATTATAATACTGTATTTAATGGGAACTGCCTCTTAAATATTTTGCCTTTTTTTATAAGGTAGGTAAAATTTAAGCTTTAAGTTTATTTTATTTATTTATAAATTTCTCTGGGACATTTTTTGACAGAAATCGGATAAATCCATCAAAATACAAAAAAATCTATTTTAAAAGAGGCTGGTTAGAAAATAATTATTTATTAAATTGCAAAACGCCAGTCAACCTTTCTATAATGGATTATGGAAGTGGATGAAAATTTTCCTCAAATCTACATGCACGTTTACGCTGGCAATGGTATGCCTGATTTACTATGAAACCTATAAGTATAATGAAAAAAAACTCTTAATTTTAGAATCATATCTACTATAACCACAGAAAATTTAAAGTTATTGATTTAATAATACTAAAATGTACAAATATTTTACGTATTTGCATGTTTAGTCGATTTTATAGTTTTTTTTTATCTCTATTCTGGACAAAAACTCCCAGTTGTAATGTACAAATGAAACAATATACCTACTCTTAAAAAAATGGCATTAGTTTCTCTTGGAAACGTAGTTTTATCCTTTAATTTTTCGTTCAATTATACCCTCGTCTACGCCACTGTTACTGGGAATAAAATAGTTTACCACGTTTTTCTTATTTTTATATCTGTATGATTTAAAGATAATTAAGAAAAAACATTTTTCAAACTAATAACTTTAACACCCTGTATTTCAGGAACATAACGTTACTGACAATGAGAAAAACGCTATTTCTCCAGTTTTTGTGACGTATAAACGGGGCACTAAATTTTTACCATCCCACCCGGTATAAATCAGTTAAAGAGCCAAGGATGTTCAATTAACTGTTAAACAGAATATAAAAAAGACTATGCAATGAATATTTTCAATTAATTGCCTCCATTTTAAATTACATTCTGCATAATCGATGGCAATCAATATTTATTACCTACCACTCGAATGAATCGGAGGTACATTAAATTAACCTGTTCTCGTAACATGGAAAAGGGGGTTCCCTTTTGTTTTCGAGCGGTTTGATGACGAATAATTTGTCAAAGAGAAATTTCTTTTTTTCATTAAAGTTTTTTTACTCACACATTGTTAGCACACTAAGGCCCGGTTGCACAGACTTTCCATAAATTCGACACTTTGTTAAGTGTTGTTTATTATTAACTGGACCTTAGAATTAATTTTTGTTGCACCAATTAGTAATTGACTTCCCTTAACAAAGTGAATCGAAACATTTTAAGAACAACTGAACTTGTTCTACAACTAACTTCTGCTTATTAATTTTTACTTAAAAGTTAGGTTATATCGTTATCGTTTCGTATCAACAAGTGCATTATTTTGATTTTTTGTTTATGTTTTGCTTTAATTACTTTATTATGGGCGATCAAGATCAAAGAAAAAAAACTCGTTCGGCAAATTATACGCACCAAGAAAAAAATTTGCTTTTAAATATTATGTTAGAATATAAAACTGTTATTGAGTCTAAAAAGTCCGATGCGGTTACTTGGAGAGATAAAGAGGAGGCATGGAAAAAAATAACTGATATTTTTAATACTCAGTCTCGTACTGGAATATTTCGACATACAGCGTCACTCAAAAAAGCATATGAAAATATAAAGAAGTGTACAAGGAAGGAAGTTGCTGATGAAAAGGCATCTCTAATTCGCACAGGTGGAGGAAGATGTGAAGTCAACACTAATCCAAACCTGGATTTGGCTTTGGAAATAATAAATCAGAAAACTGTATATGGCTTGAAGAATAAGTATAGCGACGTAGAAGAATTAGATCAAGTCGACTGTGACAATGTGCAGGAAAACGTATATATGGAAGAAATAGATGATGACACAGCCATACTTCTGCAAGTTGTTGAGGTAATACACACACTTCATATTTAAAAAGAATCGTTCAAGAAATTGTTATTGTTTATATGAGTAAAACTTATTTTATTTCAGGATGATGAGGATAATACCGAAAATAATAAAACGGACTGGGGTAACTATAAACCAGAAGATTTTAAGAAACCTTTACATCCAAAACTATTACCAAAAGCAAAAAAAATTGAATCGTCATCAAGGAAGGTGCCTTTGAATGAAACTACAGCTACTGATGATAATAATTTATTTTCAACATCACATTGGACTAGTAGGAATAGACCTATTATTTCTACTTTAGCTTCTTCTGAGTTATCGAAAAAATACAATAAGCTTGCCGAACTGAAAATTGAATTGGTACAAGTAGAATTAGATAGACTTAAAGCTGAACAGGAAATTAAAAAAGAAAGAGATTTAGTAGAATTTGAATTGAGAAGGAAATCTTTAGAACTGGACTTGAAAATTAAACACATTTTTAGAAAAAATCTCAGGGTCTTCAGGAGTGAATCCATTTAGTTTTATTTTTAATTCTTAGCTTTATTATTCTTCTGATAAATTGAGTGGTAGACTTATAACTTGAGATATGTTTATATGTTTTTTAGAAGTTTATTTTTGTCAAGTTTGTAATAAAATGATTAGTTTCTCTAGTATGTGTATCACAATTTGTCTTAAAAGAACTATTTTTGTATGATAAAGTTTTATACCAACCTTATGTATTTTTTTCCTTTACCTTTTATACCTATACTATTTTATTAGCAGAAAAGGATGATTTACTGTGAATTAAAAAAAATTTGGTATGTGATAATTTTATTGCAAATTAGCAAAATAATTTATAATCAAATTCTGTCTAACTTGAGGTCCTAACAGTTGGTTTGGATTTAAAATAGGTACCACTGGTATATCCCCATTTCTTAAAAGCACTTGAAATTCATGTTCATCCACTTCAGCTGGAAGTGGTGGCTCTGCCTCCCCCATTTTTTTAGCTATATTGTACAACACAGCCGTCGCAACAATGATGGTTAAAATATTATCTAGCTTCAGACGACATCCATACGCTAATATTGGAAACCTCCGTTTCCAGATTCCAAATAATTTCTCAACTGCTCCTCTCGTACGTATGTGCGATTCATTATAAAGCTGCTCTGGTTCTGTTCGAGGATTTTGTAATGGGGTTAATAGATAATCTTTCATAGCATAAGCACTATCACCTGAAAATTGTATGTCAAGTAATTAATACCTACACATTTACAAAAAATGTTATAGACCTGTAAAATTATAACCACTATTGTATACATACCAAGTAAGAAACAATCGGGGTGTTGACCATTTTCAAATTGTCTTCTGATAATGGAATTATTAAATATAGTTACATCGTGTACCGAACCTGGCCATCTGGCAACTAAATCAGTGATTTCTAAATATGCATTAGAAATTACTTGAACATTAATCGAAAAATAATTTTTCCTATTTCTGAATATTTCAGCATCATCTCCTCCTAAAAATAAACTTACACCTAGCAATTGAAATATATATATTTATATATATAGGTATATATTTACCTGGAGACAGTATTCTAATGTGGGTTCCATCCACAGCTCCAATTACGTTGGGGAAAGAAGCAATATCAAAAAATTTATTTTTGGTCTGGTTAACTTCTAACTCATTTCTAGGAAATATTATATAATCCCTATATAATCTTGCAATTGCATTAGAAACTCTTTTGATAATCCGACATACTGTCGACTTATTCATTTTTCCGACATCAGAAATAGTTACCATATGACTATTTGAAGCAAAATACATCAATGTAATTAATAACTGATTCATTGGTGTAACAGTGTTGTTCCTAAAAGTTTGAAGATGTTAAAATTAGATTGTAGGCATGATTTAATGCAAATATACCGTCACAAATGTAAATACAGGTATACGACACTCACACTCCTAGGTAGATAAATGTTTAGTTCAACTTACCTGTTGTATGGACGTTCTATGTAAGGTTCAATTGATGGTAATAATTGTAGAACAGTTTCTTTGGTCAGCCTAAATCGGCTAAAAAATGCTCTGTCATCATGTGAATGGAATAAATCTGGCCTTAAAAAGACTTGACGAGGAATTCCATGATTGATAATTTCGAATATCTCCAAATCATCATCTATTATATCGTCTCTCAAAATTAAATTATCCATTTTTTGGATAATGGGAACAAAGTAATTAAGTAACTAATGATTTTTTAGGTTATGATCTGTTCCATAACTTCATAAGCCCAACAAAATCAAGGGCTTAATTTATGATTAACTTGGCATGATTTAAGTAACACTTTAACTTTGATGAAACGCCCTAAGCTTTACTTAACGTCTTTAAGTTCAGTTTAAGGATTAGGAAGAGTGTGTGCAACCGGGCCTTACTTGTTAGTGGAGAATTCAAATGTAGTAAGTATCAACCGTTATGCTAATATCGAATAAACAACATATTTTGTTTTTTTTATGACAGCCGTATTGGAGTTTCGCGTTTTATAATTCGCTGTAATTTGTTTCGTCTCAAAACATAATTTGTGGCACGTCGTTGTGGCCCAGATTACAGACAAATCTGTTCTGTGGTTGTGGTGTCTATCATATTCATAATGTAATACACAAATCACAAACCTAAGAAAAATTTATACTGCGTTATTATACCTATGATATAAGCTTCTAAAAAACGTCTCTCGTCCCGACTAATGACCTTAGGACCGCAATATGGATACTTTATTTACATTATTTTGATTACTGCAGGTTTGATGGCCATATCATGTATCTTGTTGGATCATATCATTAGTCAATGTGATGCCAATACAAATGTCACACTTAAGTAAATAGAAAAAATATTTTTGATTTTAATCCAATTCGTAGTGACAAATTTTAATGTTTTAAACTACCTACCACAAATTAACAAAAAAATGTTCTTATACCTAACGTCAAAGTAGGGCGTAATTTCCAAATAAGTATGTATAAAAAACAATAACCCGGACAAACTATTTTTTTAGTTTAAAAATTAGAATCAAATAAGAAAATCGTTTGTTTTAGAAATAATCGACAGCACTAGAAAAATATAATAAGTAGGTATAATTAATCAACAGAAATTGACATAACCCACACAGCACATGACGTCCCTGGGATATCCTCATTTAGTCCTATATATCCTAATCGGGGATCTCACTCCTCAGGATATCCTGATGATATTTAAATAAGACAAGTAGATCCTATCAATATCCTAGTTGGGGATATCCCAGGTAAATCCAAACAGGATGTCCTGGAAATATCCTATGAAGATATTAAAAGCCGAATAATCTCCAATTTTGGGATATCCTAGGCAAATTCTAGAGTGATCCCATCCTGGGATGGTTCTTGGCTTTGCACAGTGCATGGTGCATGCGCAGTATGACATATTGACGACATGACCCGTATCTCGCCATTTTCTGTGTTTCTTTGTTTTATAAGTGCGTGACTCAATGACGTTTTTATTAATTTGAAAAGTGGAAAATGAAATTTAAAGCTTGTTAAAATAGTTAAGTGACGTGCATCAACCACCTGCTGGCAGAAGTAAGTATTTAAATTACCTTTGGTATTAAGGTATTAATATCATAGAATAAACATATAGGTTAGAATCGTATATAGTATTAACTAATTTTGTTCTTACTGTTTGTATCATGCAATAATTATATAATGCCTAAAGAACGCATTAAAAAAACATGTTTTCAAATATTTTTTATATAGAGCCTAATACCATTCAAAAATTAGAATAGTTTTTATCACTATTTGTAATAGATGTGTATAAGTGGTATCACCAAATCTACATAATATGTTCAAATCTATAATTTTTAGTTTTGAATGTGTTGTATATAGGTGTTCTGACAAAGGATTGTATCCCATAAATTTAATTAATTTATTATAGTTCTCTGTCTGTAATATTTGTACCAACATTGTGAGTTATAAGGATTACATTATAAATCGTAGGCAGAATTACGTATTATCTATTAGAATATTAGAATTAAATTTAATATCAACAGATTATAATCCATAGTTCATGAAATTAGAATAGTCTCGTTAAATGTATTTAATGAAAATTTTTGTTTTGTCACTCGTCTACAATGTAAATGTATTATTAACATACTTTTTCTACAAATTTACAGCTGGAATTTCACAAGCACATTGCACAAAAAATTGCCCAGAAAAAGATAATGGGGAGGGCATTAAAACATGTCGCGG